TTCTCTGCTTCTCCTTTCTCGCTCCCGACCGCTCATCAAGACATTCAGTTCCTTCCTAAGGATATCTGTGATGTCAAAAAAGTCGAAGTCTGTCGCGGAGTGAGGCTTTGCAGCTCTACAGTTGAGCCTATTGGTTTTAAGATACCACGAGTTAAGGTACATATTTTAACTCTTAATTATAAGGATTTTAACTTCAACAAATCACTGCGTATATTATGGTACTGGTCATAATTTTGCTTATTAAGGATTCAAGAGGATAATTTGTATTTCTTGTTATTATTATTTTAGACTGAATATTTTCAAGACGATTTATTTTGCAATACCTTAGTCACTTGGAAGGCTGGCATTGGAGCTAGGGAATGGCTTGATGGAGCTAATGGCTCCCTCGAAACTGTTAGCTTGAAACCAGAAGGAATGAAACCTTGTAAATAAATAAATAAATATATATATATAATTAAACAAAAAATAAATTAACTCAAACTTAGTAGATTTAAATTTTTTTATTTATTTCAATTTTTATTTATTTTTAGTGAGTGAGGCCCCAAAACCTGCTCCTGGCTCTAATGTTCCGAAATATTCTTCGAAGGTTTTACATCAGAAAAGTGACCAGGAGAAGAAGGAAGAGCTGATTGCTGCCATGATAAACAAGATGGGGGACAAAGATGACGAGCCGTTGCCTCAGGATGATGTTGATGGAGTTGATAGCGATGAATGGGTGAGGAAAAAATTGATTTATTATTATTATTATTATTATTATCATTATTATCATTTGTTTTTTTTAGGATGACTAATCACTGCAATAAAGAAAATATAACTGCTGATTTAATATTATTATTATTATTATTATTTAATGTTATTATTTTTATTAGAAACAACAAACAATTGATATCACGTGATGATTGACATGTCTCATGTCTGCAAAATACTTTTACTAATTAGCATCAATAATTTTAAAGGCAGGGATTCACCCCTGATCTATAGATGTATATACATGATCCCATTTAGATAGTTTTCAGTTTCATGCTGCTTTTGGCCTAGCTAGCCTGCTGGTGAGTCCCTTAAACACGCAAATCTACTTTTATAAAAATCTCTTTTGCTCGAAATTTTATTATCAGATCTGTCTTAATTTAGATAATCATCTCATCATGAACCAGAACAAGGGTCATGGCAGCTGTAGTCTATGTAGGAGGTATTGGTCTAATGTAAACGTGTTTACTTCTGGTGTAGCGATCCTTGTCCTTATTTGGGAATATTTGATGTATGTTGAGGTTCTCGTAATGAGATTCTTTACATCAACTGGAGCTGGTCAGGATGGCACCAAAGGAGTCGTCCTTGACGTATTGTATTGTTTGATTTTCTTTTCTTTTCCCTTATTTGGGTTGCTAGCTGACGTACGTGTTGGTAGGTACAGAGCGATTATGGCTGGCATAATACTATGTTTCGCGTCGTGGATATTTTCAGGGATAAGTTTTGTCATTCGTGGTTTCTACACTGACAATACTCTTCTTTTGTTGTTGTATGGGTTGGCTTATATCACCGGGGTTTCTGGCTACACAAGCTTCAAGGCTAACATTGTTCAGTATAACATTGATCAGCTTGTAGGAGCATCAGCTGATGAATTAAGTGCAGTCATATACTGGCATTCAGCTTCTGTTCCAATTTCATTTTCTATTTTTCAGATGATAAGATGTGCAATTAGGAATGATTACATTTTCCTGATAACATTTGTATCTGCTGGATTATCTCTGTTTCTTGTAGTAGTTTCTCATTCATTATTTAAGCACAAACTGGAGAACATATCACTGATCAAGAATCCAGTCAAACTGATAGTTAGAGTATTGTGTTATGCCAGGAAGCACAAGTATCCTGAGAATCGTAGTGCTCTGACCTACTGGGAGGAAGAGGCTCCTTCAAGACTAGACCTGGGTAAGGGTAGATATGGTGGACCATTCACAGAAGAAGAGGTAGAAGATGTAAAGACAGTTTTTCGGATGCTACCATTATTAATATCTGTTGTTGGATTGACAACCAGTGATGAAGTTTATCACTGGATAATGTCTGGAAATCAAAGTATAGAAATAAGCTATGGCTCCTGCCTAATATCAACTGAATTTGGAAAATTTGTCACCTCAGTTGTATTTTTTCTGATTTACCTTTTGCTGATCCAACCAATATTTAAGAGATTTATTCCTAGAATGTTGCTAAGGATTGGAGTTGGCCTGGTATTTGCTTTTTGCACAACGTTATCAAAAACAGTGATCTTTATTTTGGTGCCATCTGACGCATCCTC